TACATACTCTTAAAACAAGGATCTTTTGTTCCTTTCCAGCAGCTTTTTTTCTGTTTTGTCTGTTACGATTGATACTTCATATTTTTTAGGCATTGAGAAACATTTTATGTTCTTGAATTCATCAGATTCAACTGTATGTGAGTTGTCATAAAGGATAGCAAGCCTTTCGCTACTTCAATAAATGAATTTCAGAGTAAACACTGTGATTCTACAGTAGGCCCTTGTCTTTCAATGTTTTCTGTAGTGCCTATCACCTTGAGGTCGCATAAATACTATCGGATGGAAAGTTAGATTGTTTTGATGCTTACTAAATAACATGATCATAGAATATGACTTTTGTTGTCAGTGTATTAAAACATTTTTGCATTGCTAAATGTTCTCTAGGAATGTGCTTACATTCATCAGGTGTGAATTCTTGTAAATGAAATTTGTATCTTGAATCCACATATATATTAAATGTATCATCAATATAAAAATAAACATAATTTGCTTAAAGCTTTTTTTGTAATTCAGTATTTTTAGCAAAATATTTAAACTGTTAATGATCTGCTTTCAGATCATTTTATGACCTGTGGACATAAAGCACCCACCTATATTTTCCTTCTGTGGGGTTTACTGAACAGCTGATTTTCCTCTGACAGAATATGCAGCCATCAAGAGGGAAACTGTGCCTCTGTTCGCAGCCAAAAAGTGGGCATGTACTGCATATTACTGTTATTACAGGTGTGATTTTGCCAATCTTTTGGCTTTTTTCCCCTATGTGTTAATTTGGAAGTTGCCTTTCTCAGCTGACTCCATGTTCACAAAAATACAGCAATTTCAGGTGCCCTAAATTGTATGTACTTGTCAAGGGAGCTAGAAGGCAGTTCAGAATTCAAGGATCATGTGTTTCATATAATTTTACCCCTAGAGCCCAGAGAAACAAGTGTGACCTACTTTATCCTACCAGAGTCCAGAGGAAAATAACAAAGGAGCTTCAAAAAGTTCATGGAAAAATTCTTAAAATTCCATTTTTCCGTGAACTTTTCCTAGAAGTTGTGTCACAAAATACGTATCAAAGTCCATATTTTATAACAAAATTTCAGAAATATTCCTTGATTCAGCATGTCTTCCATTAATGAAAACACATGGTATCAACTAAAATCTCAAAGTTGAAAATAATTGGGTCATGCCTTAAACTATCTTGGGGTTGTGGAAGAGAGAACTTGCTTCTACTTTGTCCGTTTCTTCTGTGTCCTAGTCTCTGCCCTGCTCTTTCCTTGTGATCAGAACTAGAATCCACGGAGAGAAGGAGGTGTTTTCACAGCAGATTAGGTGGAATCTGCGGACCCATGCCTGAGCTGGTGTTGGGTGTGGTAAAAGAACCAGAGTTCCTTTAATGGGGGATGCCTAGAAATGGTTGGATCCCAAGATACCTAACTTTACTAATTTGCAGTGCTACTTTGATCGTGAGTCCTGGGGTGGCGCTGTAGGATAAGCACTAGATCTAGTTGTAATTGCAAGATGTTGTTGTTATGTGCCGTGGAGTCGTCGGTTCCGACTCATAGCGACCCTGTACAGTGTTTCCGAGGCTGTAATTGTTTACGGGAGCAGAAAGCTACTCCCACAGAACAGCTGGTAGTTTCGAACTGCTGACCTTGCGCGCAGCCTGATTCGTAACCACTACGCTACCAGAACTGCAAGATAGAAGGTTCAAACTCACCAGCTGTCAAACCCACCAGGGTCGCTTGATTCGGAACCAACTAGAGAGCATACAACACTTTGAAGATGGCAGTTTACTTTCCTGGCTTTTCTTCATCTATTAAAAGGAGGCAACCCATTATTTTATAGTCAATGTGTAGCGGCGTGTTTTTAAGATGCGATGTAATAATACATCTGACTGCAAATTATAAAAAGTATTTTAGAAACATTTCAATTATATATTGTGTATTGAGTTGCAATGCAAGTTAAAACACTAGTTGTTAAGTGCTGTCGAGTCAGTTCTGACTTACAGTGACCCTGTATAGGGTTTCCTAGGAATGGCTGGTGAGCTTGAATCACCAACCTTGCGGTTCAAACCGACCTTGTAGTCCAGTGCATTACCCCACTGCGCTACACCAGGACTCCAAGGGCCAAAATTCCAGAACTAGTTTCTAGAGGCACAAGCTTGTGTGAGGAGAAAGGCAGACTTTCATTGATTACTATAAAGCAGCCGTGTAGGGCGCAAAAGGAAAGCTCTCTGTTGGCTCAGTGGCTGGGACGCAAGTCAAACCGCCAAAGTGTTGTTAAAGTGCCGTCGAATTGATTACGACCCTCCGCAAACCTGTACAGGGTTTCCGAGGAGCAGCTGGTGAGCTAGAATGGCCGACCTTGCTGAGGTTCAAACTGACTTTGCAGGCCAGCGCATTAACCCATAGCGCCACACGAGGACTCTTAGCTGGGGACATCCAGCACATGAGACAATGGCATTATGGTACAAACTGTTTTCCTTTTACCACGACGCTCCCTCCCACTTCTGACTCTCCGCATCGCTGCCTTTTAGGAAAAAAAAGGAAAGAAGAAAGGTTATTTCCAGACCCAGGCATCATCTGCGGGTCCAGATGCCCGCTGACGTGGCGAGTCGGTCAAAGGGAGTGCCCAGCCTCTGGCCCGCAACCTACAGCAGCCTAGGGCCTAAACGCCAACACAAAGCTCGAATTCCTGGGTGCGGAGGCAGCGCGAGAGCGCATGCGCGCCAAAGGACAGCCCCGTGCAGCCACTTCCGGTCTGCCTGTGCAACTGCGGTTCCGGGTCGTTGCTCGGCTTGCCGGCCGGCCTTGTAGGCTGGTGACGCGGGCGGCGCTCACGAGAGGCCCGGGAGGCGGGGCTGTGCTGTCTGTCCCGTGAGCTGCAGGTGCGCCAGTGGGGGCTCCAGGAATCTAACCAGGACTCTAGTTGCCCGGTGGCCCTAGTCTGCCCCTTAGAACGGTCAGGACGGAGTGCCCTAGGACCTGGGCGGGGGGCGGCACCAGTACTGAAAGGGCGGTGGGGGTGGAATTGGTTCGGGCGGCGAGTTGCCCGGCCTGAGACTCTGAAGCCTAGGTTTCCGGGATTCTTCTCTGCGCAACCTTGGACAAGTAACTGCTCCTCACTGGGTCTCTGTTTTTCAACTACAAATGGGAGAGACATTGGACTCCTCCCTTCTTTGACAGTTCAAACCCTGGCGAGTCTGGAGCGAACCAGGGAGTGAAATCCAAACTGCTGCCGCTGGCCCTAGCCAGATACCACCTACCTGCCTTTCTGCGAGTTGGGAGTCTTTTACTCAAGTTTGCCGTCTTCTCAGCGACACTAATTAGTGTGTCAGTGGTCTGTGACCGCCCAGAGTTTGGCCAGGTAAAGTGTGTGGCAGTCAGAATCAACAAAATCAATACCGACCCTCGGAAAACTTAATGTCACTAAAGTTATTTTACTCCTGGCTTCCTAGGAGACGTGGGATTCAAGAACCTACTGCAGTAAGAGATTCTATTGTTTGTGCTCTCAGTGAAGATCTTAAACAAAAAATGCAAAGGAAACCACTAGGGCATGGGAGGAAGGGTTAGTGATGCTTGTGATAGTAACAGGTTTTCTTAACTCCCCCCTTCTCTTCCTCTGGTAGCTGTCCCCCTCGCCCTGAATACTGAGGCCTCACACACTTGAAATATCCGATGTATTTTGTCTTTGTCTTCATGGATAGATAGAATGCTTTGGCCGCCAAGCTGATTTAAATCTAGTAGTTAGCCAGGTGAGTAGGTGGTGTACAGATATTAAAGGTAAAGTTTTTGAAGAATCACATAGACTTTAAAATGGGTGATCTAAAGTGATCAGAAGTCATTTGTAGAGTTTCACAAAACATGAAAAGGTTGAAATCAGATTATTAATGCTTCATGTACTATTGAGTCCTGGTGTGGCACTACAGGATAATGCACTGGATTGGTTTAAACTACAAAGTCTTAAGTTCAGACTCACCAGCTGCTCGTTGGAAACCCTATTGCTGTGAGTTGGAACTGACTTGATGGCACTTAACAACAGCAGTGTACTTACTAGTGAGTGGAAAAAATGTTTGAATCTCATGTTGAAATCATTTCAGATATTCTGATAAAGAAGCAAAATGTGATTTGAGATAGTTTCATGAAACTCAAAACCACACAGCATTTCCAGGGGAAAAAGTTTAAGAATGTCCTACAAGGCACCCTGGTGACACAGTAGTCAAGTGCTACCATCACAATATAGTTGCCTGTCTTCTCTTTCTTCCAAGTTGTCAACCTCTGTTAGGAAACATGATTGTAAGTCATCCTGGACCATCATATGTTCATGTTTTTGTCTTTTTTTTTTTTTTAAGTCACTGAGTAAGGTGCTGTAGGATAAGCACTAGACTGCTAGCCTCAAGCTTGGTGGTTCAAATCCACCAGCTGCTCCTCGGAAACCCTATACAGGGTCGCTATAAGTTGGAACCAACTCAATGGCACTTATTAGCAACCGCAAGTGTAGTTAAATTTTATTGGGAGAAGGATTCAAAAGCATTATGTGGGCATGATGAGTTACTAAATGTAGCATATATCGTAGCTAACATGATAAAGTAGGTACTTGTAAGTTCAAATACCAACTCTGCCACTTAGCCAAGTTATCTTGGCCAGGTTTCTGACTTTCCTAAGACTAGATTTCCTTACCAGTTTATACATATGAAGTATCTTAAGTTTTAATTGTTTAGTAACTATTCTAGTAAGCAAACATGAAAAGTTATGAAGCTTCATTTTGAAACCTGAAGGTTATCATATCAACTCAGATGTGAAATCTCTTGAGTGTTTAATTTAAGAGTTTCTTTCATCTGGTTTGTAGATACTATGTTGCCATAAACGCTTGGCCCACATTTCAACAAGAATGCAACAGGCTTGGATATCTGGAACTTTTTAGGCTCCTATTACTGAATCCTTGGACTCTGGCCTTAAAGAGTACTGTGGTGGCTCAAGAGCTGGTTAGCAGTGCAGGATAACTACACAGCAAAAATGTTTGCAAAACTAAAGAAGAAAATTGCAGAAGAGACTGCAGTTGCTCAGAGACCAGGAGGTTCTACTAGGATCCCACGATCAGTGAGCAAGGAATCTGTTACATCGATGGGAGCTGACTCAGGAGATGACTTTGTAAGTATCTTTCATTCATTTTAAATATTTGGTGCCTTGCCATTCTACTTTTTAAATAATATTGGGAATGTTTTAATATTTTCTCTGAAAATTGTGTGATTATTTCATTCATATAGCAATGCAAGACCCTACAGTACGTCTAAGTCATCTTACTCAGAGTTAGTTACTTTTCTTTTTTTTTTTTCTGCTTTGTCCTTTTGTAGTCTTTTCTGTCTGTATACTTTGTGCATTTTCTTTCACATTTCATCTCTCAAAATGCCCAGGCCTATTTTTTTCATAAATGTATATACTTCAAGGCATTGTTGCTTAACAATGTCTGTGAGTTGTGGTGTGAGGTTAGCCAGAGTACATTAAGAAAGGTGATAGAAATTTGTCAAAGATGTCACTGATGACATTTGTTGTTGTTGTTAAGTAGTAGGTCCCTTTTTTAAAGTATCTTCAAAGAGGCTACCATGTTAGGGAAATGTTAAGCCTAAGAATTAAGTGTGTTTTTAGCATGTGACAGTATCCTCTTAAGTAGGATAGCCTTTAAAAAAAATAATAATGCTTTATATAAATAGAAGAATGTATACAGTGTCTGTGTAAAGGATAAAGCATAGAAATACAGTCTACCATAGGTCGTACTCTTGGACTCACTTTTTTTTTTTCTTAAACCTCAACCTGCTTCCAACATGAAACTGTGGTTTATTTCTTTTTACTGCTGTATAAAATCCGAGCATTTGAAAAGACCAAAATGTACCTCTTTTTTCTCCTGGCAGTAGACATTTGAGTTGTTTCCATGATCAGATGAGTCTTCCTTCTCCTTTCATATGCTTCCTGAGATCCAGGTCATATTACGTAGCAGGAGCTATTATGTTATTGGGGTGGAGCAATAGATGACTGGATCTAAAATCATTGGCTCCTATATTTAACAGGAAATGTAAGTGCACCTTTGAATACCATGCTGAAGGATAGAGTTTTAATGCTGAGTTCTGTGGCAGCATGACCTGCTTTGCCCTCAGGTTGGCATGCTAAATTAATTTCTCATCTAGAATCTATTCCAGATAACCGAGATTGACCTGAATTCAGGACTTTGAGACTTCTAATCTAGTTGAACTTTTTGTATAAGCAGTTTGAGCCTCGGTTTTTATCTCCAGATCCTATATCCAACTTCATATATTTCTCTGCCTTGGCGACTTCCTTTAGGCATCTCAGCTTCTAAATGTACAAAACTGAATTCATTAACTCCATCTCCAATTCACAGAGACATAGACCTTCATCCCCCTGAGTCACCAGCTGGAAACGGAGGAGACATTTTATACTCTTGGTGTCCAATCAGCCCATATGTATTCTGGGTTCCATTTCTTAAATGCCTTTCAAACTTGCCTTTGCTTTCTCTGCTCTGTCTTTAGTAGTACATGTACAGTACAAGTACTGCCGTTTTTTTGCAGCTGTCTTTCTCTGCTGGACAAATTGACAGCCTCTTTGGATTCAATGTCTCCAATAGTTGCCCAAAGTGATCTTCCTAAAAAGCAGATCTGTTAATGTCTGTCCAGTGCTTAAAACTTCGTGGCTTCCTCAGGATGAAGTATAAACATATTATTATGGTAAAATGGTAAACTATTGTGCTCTCATTACAGCTTAACCCATTAAACTTCCCCTCACTCCAGTTTCTGCCACTCTGTGCTCCTGGAAGAGACCACATTCCTTCATGTTTATGAATGTTTGCATATGCGTTTCTTCTCTCTGAACTGTTCCCAGTCTCCCCTCCTCTTTCACCCTGCATTCTTTAAGACTCCACTCACATTTTAGTTTCAGGAAGCTCCCCTCACACATCCCTACTCTTCTCCTTGACCATTTATTTGTTTCTCTAAAAGTGGAACTTCATGAGAGTCTTTAGAGTGTAGTACTTAGGAACTCGTGTCAGGTTTTTGGACCTTGATTTGATTCCTGGCGCTATCATCGTGGTGTAATTTTCGTTAAGTTAAAATATGTGTGTCAGGAATCTCCAAGATCTCCTTCAGATGTGATGATTCACTAGGAGAACTCACTGGACTCAACATATAGTAGTGCTGCTGCTGGTGTGCTGTAGGGTCAGTTCTGACTCATAGCCACCCTGTGTAGGGTTTCCGAGGCTATAAATCTTTATGGGAGCAGAAAGCCTCATCTTTCTCCTACAGAACAGCTGGTAGTTTTGAACTGCTGACCTTGAGGTTAGCAGCCCGCCTTGTAACCACTACGCAACCAGAGCTCCTTAGCATATAGCAGTCTCATGACTTATTTATGATAGGGAAAGGATACAAAACAAAATCACAAAGGGAAAGGACTCCCAGAGGAAACTACTTGAATGCTTCTAAGAGTCCTCTCACAACAGTCACACAAAACCAAAACACAAACCCACTGCTGTTGTGTCAGTTCTGACTCCTGTTGAGTTCAGTAGGCCAGAGTAGTGTTGCCCCCATAGGGTTTCCAATGTAAATCTTTACAGAAGCAGACTACCACATATTTATCTGTCAAAGTGGCTGGTGGATTTGAACTGTCAATGTTTCCCTTAGCAGGCAAACACTTTAACCACTGCACACCAGGAATTCTTGGAGTCACAGTGCAAGTCCTTAATTCTCCCAGCAAAGAGCTATGGCAACACCTATGAAATATTATCTACTGGGAAGCTCAGTAGAGACTCAGTGCTCAGAGTTTTTATTGTGGGCTAATCATGGAGTCCTGGTGTAGCACTGTGGATTAATGCGCTGATCTGCAAAGTCAGTTTGAACCACAAGGTCAAAGGTTCAAGCTCACCAGGTGCTCCTTGGAAACCCTATACAGGGTTCCTATGGGTCAGAACTGCCTCAGTGGCACTTGACAACAACAACAAAATCATGTAGGAATCCTCTGACACATACTACTTCACAGAAGTAGAGCAGGAGACAAGCTATCCATATCCATTGCTTACGACAACATTGAGTGTGCACATGAAATGATTGTATTGAATAGACAATGACAGTGGATTATGTGGGAAATCATTTGAAAATCAGCCATGGCTCTGCTTACGAAATAATCCACGACAGATTTAGGATTCGAAAAGTTTGTTCAAGATGGGTACCGAAACAACTCACAGAAGAGCATAAACAGAAGTATTTGGACATCTACAAATAAAATTTGGACCAATACTTGAAGGAAGGCAAAAATTTCTTTAAAATACTGTTACTGGTAACAAGACATGGATTCATCATTACGATCCTGAGAGTAAATGTCAGAGTATGGAATGCAAACATCCTCAAAAATAAAGTACAAACGTCAAATATCAGCTGGAAAATTGATGCTTAGAGTTTTCTGGGACTCTCAAGGGTCAGTATAGGAACACTATTAGGAAAAAGGTTCAGTAATCAACTGTGCTTGTTACAGTGACATACTCACTGAAGAGCTGAAGCCTAAACTTTGGATTAAACACAGAGGACAGCATTGTGATCTTGCATGACAGCATACGTCTGCCCACCTCTGCCCACACTATTGACACTGCAAAAACTTTTTTTTAAGGTGTAAAAGCATCCTCCTTATAATCCTGATCTTGCTCCATTGGACTTCCACCTGTTTGGTCCCCTGAAAGCAGCCCTTCAAGGATGAAAGATTCACCTCTGATGAAGAAGTTGATTTCTGCCAGTGGCTGCATTTTGAAAGCAGTGCATTCATGGCTTGCAGCTCAACCTAAAACATTTTTTTAATAAGAGAATATGAAAGCTTGTTAACAGATGGACAAATTGTATTGAAAATCAAGGAAATTATGTAAAAAATGTATTTTGTCTTTTCTAAAAGTTGATTTAAATAAAGTCTAGTGCGGATAATTTTTGACTCATGGATTTATTTACGACTGATCTCTCTCTCTATATATACATATATATGTATGTATATATATACATACATATATATGTATATGTTGTTGTTGTTAAGTGCCATCGAGTCGGGTTCGACCCATAGCGACCCTGTACAGGGTTTCCGAGGGTGTAAATCTTTACGGGAGTAGA